AAAATGCCTATCGCTGCAGCTGAATAAACAGAAGATTTAACTGCTTTCATTTATTCACCGTGACTAATAAACACACGACTATGACAATATATGGTTTATCTGAGTTAGTCTTATTATAATGTTTATTATAATAAAGCATATAATAATGCTAATCGACATAGCCTTTATCACTGCTTAGAATACTATGAAATATGTTGCTTGCCTTATTCTGTGTAAGAAGCCACATCATCTCACAGAAGGATTTACTACAAACACTCGACTGACGTTATGAAGTGAGTTTGGAGTAAAAAACATGTTATTAAATGTGGTATTTTCACGTGCTTTCAGATGAAGCAGCATTTACTACACAGAGCCGTAGTTCACTGACAAGCTACGCAAACCGCTTTCATAATTGCAGAACAATTTCTTTGATTTCATAAACGCGATTATGAATGTGGTTTTGCGTACCTTGTCAGTGAACTACGGCTCTGTGTAGTCTCACAGAAGGATTTATTTCAAACACTCGACTGATGTTATGAAGTGAGTTTGGAGTAAAAATATGTTATTTAATGTGGTATTTTCATATGCTTTTAGATTGAATAGCATTGACTACACAGAGCCGTAGTTCACGGACAAGCTACGCAAACGCAGGGATATAACTAAAGACAGGACAAACTAACAAAAACATAAAAACAACTGTGGAGCACGCCACGGAGGCAGCCATCAGCGTCGGCGCCATCTTATCATCTGATAAGATGATTCATAATCGCAGAATGATTTCTTCGATTTCATTATGGCGCAATTAAATCGTCTGCGATTATGAACGCGATTTTGCGTAGCTTGTCATTGTCGTTAAGGATTGTAAAAATCGTATATGTTAACGCATTAACGCGTAATACTAACAATATATTTCTGCCTCATCATTTGACCAAAATCTACATTGGATCGTAGTCAGAAGTTATTACAAACACTCAATGGTGATTGATAGTGACTTTTAAGTAAGTGCTGTATTAATTGTCACGTGTAGCTTGAAGCTAATTGTATCTATAATTTCTCTGTTACGCATATATGATTATATTTCATGAATTATTTTATCAAAAGAAATCACATAAGTTCATAAGATTTTTAATTATAGTGATATAATTTATATCGGGATCAGAGGGATGTGATGGTGGGCAAGCCATATAATGCCAGAATAAAGTAATGCCACAACTTCCATAATGCCACAACTTACACATCTCTGTTCAGATCACCTTTTCTCCTGACAAAATCAGTGTAATGGCAAAATTTCCATCCCCTGAATGTACACTTTTCCATATTCCAAGCTTTCCTGATTCACTGGTGGCTTAATGTGCCTGTGTGAGTCATAACAATTATGAAAGTAAATCTAGGAATTATTGGATTTTTGGATTTCAAATCAGTAGGGGTACTAGTACTAGTTACTGCCCAACACTGTTAGTTACATACTGTATTTACTTTTAAATTTATTCATTTTGCAGATAATTTTATCCAAAATGACTTACAAATTAAATACATCTGCAATTTTTCACACAATGCCAATGTAAAAGTGTAAACTAGATAAGTACAGAAAGAGGTGATATATAGAAAAGGGAACTTAAAAAAAAATTATAGTAAATGTCGTTTTCGCTTTTGCCGCATTATTTCACATAAAGGTTTGCTTCACTTTGACGTGTGCATTATTTTTCAATAATTCATGACTTACCTGATTATTTGTTAGTCTTAACATTAATATTAGGCCTAGTGTGCATGATTACAAATTTTATATGGTGTTTAGTCTGTCTTCATTGTAAAATTATTACCTGTCATGTTTTTACTCTAGCCTCCAGGAGCACAGCGCCGTTTCTTTTTAAATCTGGTGTGACGGGACTGCTGGTGACTTATGTCAGTGATGAGAAGGAGCTTTTTGAAGAGGTCACAAACATTCTTAGAATGTAGGTTAACGATGTATATTTTGGATTTTCTTTCTTGTATGTAGGGCTGCAACTAACAATTATTTTGCTAATTGATTGATCTGATGATTATTTCTACATTATACTACAGGGCTGTTGAATCTGCTTGAATGTGATTGACTGACGAACGTTTTAAGGTGTGCAATTATTTTCATGGAAATGCATGGCTAATGTAGTTGCAGGCAGGTCTTCACCACATTACGTCCATATCACTTCGCCAAATGATTTATTTCAAAGGTCTACAACAATCTACAACGACAAAAGAACCTAAACCCACAATGACGCTGACCAAGCAAATAAATATAATAAACAATATAATAAAAAAATTACAAATTATTTTATTATTTTTACCACAAAATGACGTTTTATTATGTACGAAAAGCACATCTCCCACTCTCTCTCCCATACAAATGCACACACATACAGTACTACGGACACACATCCACACAGAAACGTGTTGTCATTGCTGCCCTGACGATTTTTCAGTAAAATAGTCTAGCAAATTAAAAGCTATAGAACATTTCTCACTAGCGAGATAATAATGGCACTGTTCTTGAAACAGATGAATGTACAGTTTCGCTAGTAGTAGAGACGCTCCGACGTGAAGTGGATGGGCCGTTACACCTTGGGTGTGCATTACTTTCTAATAATTCAATGGCCCATTGTCAATTATCCCTTACATATAGAATTAAAAGTAAAAAAAAAAGGGGGGCTTAAGAAAAGGACATTTTTATTGGGCGAAAAAAAATGGTCCAAATGAAGTGGGTGCAGCCCCACCTTTAATGAATAAGCATTTTGCAAATCTTGCATTGAACTCAGGATTTGAAAAGCAGTCGTCAGTAAATGATGGGAACACAATGAAATATTAGAGTTATACTGCTGTGGTGTCACAGTAAAATTTTATTTTAACCACTGACTCTTCACATCCTCATCCTTTGGGAGTACATACAAAGTTGTTTTGCTTTTGCCGATCGGCAAACAGGGTCTTCTAGACAATGCAACAACACGAACCAGACTCCTCTTCCTCTGCTACAACTACAGTGTCTGAGGGTGGATCAAAGTACTTGTTTGTGGACAGCTAATGAAGACAGTTTTGCAAATGTGTTAGAAACCTACGTGGGTTTGTGCAGAAAATAAGACAAATTATTGACTGCTCGTTTCAGGCAGTTCTAGTTCTTTCTTTTAGGAGATAATGCAATTTTTGTGCACTTTGATCTCTGAAACTTTGCAGACCTTTTACATTCACAAACAGCTATATTACAAACAACTTTGAAGGTCATATCCAAAAAAGCATAACAGGAGCACTTTAATTTGAATGACTCATATTTGGACAACTTGGGTTGTACACATTTCATGCAGTAACTCACTCTGATTTGGCCTTAAAAAGACTTTCCAGTCACAGCAAACAGGCCTGACTATTCTTATAATGAGACTATTTTCATAATCATGTTTATGGATTAGATGTTGCAGCCCTACTTGTATATGCTGATATTGGTAAAGTCTTTATTTAAATGTAAAATAAATAGTTCACCAAAAAATGAAAATTGTCATTTATTTTTATTCTAGATGTTCTGAACTTACGGTATTTTTTTCCTGTTGAACACAAAAGGAAAAGTTTCAAGTAGCTCTTTTCCATGCAATAATTTGTCATTGTGACCATTATATCATGCACCAAACAGGACAAAATGTAACTGAATATATTTTCTTCCACTGCCATTCAGGAGTTGCTCTCAAATTAAACTTGGAGCAGGGGTGATGATCATCTGTAAATATAGACTTAAACTGCTGTCACTATAAAATACACAATACACTTTTTTTTTTTTACCTTAATGGTTGTTATGGTCATATGGAAAAGAATGCTTTACTATTCTCATTTTGTGTTCAACAGAAAAAAAAAATATATTTTTTATTCATTTTTACTGAAATTATGATAAGCTATACATACTGCACAGCAAATAAGCTCATGACCCCCCCAACACCACCAGGTATGACCCAGACATTCTTGTTGGATATGAGGTCCAGATGCACTCTTGGGGGTACCTACTGCAACGTGCATCAACGCTCAGTGTGGACCTGTGCCAGCAACTCTCCCGTGTGCCAGGTAAGGTTACCTTATTTCGTAGTAGTGTACATGTTTATTACCTGTTTTGCTTAATTTCACCGTCAGAAATAGTTCCAAACCACAGCAGAACTGTTGTGCCTTTCTAAGCAACACAGCAGCTTCAATACTAACTGATTTTTTTTTTTAATGAATCGAGTGAGCCAATGTTTCAGTGAAAAATACAAAAAAGCGTGCACATCCCAAAAACCCAAAGGCTCAGGTGCATGACAAAAAATAAGATCAATACAAACAACGAAACTTTGTATCAATAAATTCTTTGGGAGCAGTCTTGTCAGTGTGCAGACAATTTTTTTTGTTTCCAATGTTTCAGTGACCCATTCATAAAGACACTTGCTTTGTTTCTGAATGCATCAGCCGTTCGAATGAACTGGTTGAATGAATGACTGAATGACTCAATCATTAAGACCTACTTAAGGTTTTAGTTTTATATTTACAGTATAATTTCATTAAAAACATTTCAATATTTGTTTTTTAAACATATTAATGCCCATTTAAAACACGTTAATCTCATATAGCATTAATTATGCCATTCTAATTTGCAGTGTAAATGCCTTCATGCCACCTCTGAACAGTCTGTGTATATGTATATATCGTGTATCCCTATATAGCTATCCCTAAATGCCACTTCAGATGCAGCTTCTGAAAACTGAAAATGTTAAGGCCACATTGTAGCCTTTGGTGTCATTAAAATGTTTCTTTTTAAAGCTTCTTTATATAATGTCTATTCAATGCTTTTCTCATTTAACACATATAAAATATATACATCCAGCTCTGAAAGAAATTAAGAGATCACAAAATTCAATTTCTATGAATTTACTATTTAGGTACAGTTAGGTCTATATACTGTATATTTGGACAAGCACAATTTTTGTTATTTTAGCGGTTTACCAAAACATGTTCAAGTTACAGTTATGTAATGAATATGTGCTTGAAGTACACACTCTCAGCTTTAATTCAAGGGTAATCACATCCAAATTGGAGGAGGGGTTTAGGAATGACAGCTCTACCTTCATTGTTTCATCTATTAAGAAGGTAAAAGGTGTGTAGTTTATTCTAAAGGCCCCGATATACTTCAAGCGAAATCGAAGAACGAACTGATTTCACGTCATTCACCTGTAAATCACCTGATCTCAAATGCATTTCACTTGCTGAAGACAAAACTCAAGGCAGAAAGACCCACGAACAAACAACAACTGAAGACAGCTGCAGTAAAGGCCTGGCAAAGCATAACAAAAGAGGAAACCCAGTCTTTGGTGATGTCCATTAATATTTTATTTATGATTATATTCATTTGTCCAATTACATTTGAGCCCATGAAAATAAGGGGCTGTTTAAAAATGGTTGCAATTTCTAAACGTTTCACATGATAATTTTGTTCAACCCCTTGAATAAAAGCTGAAAGTCTGCACTACAATTTCATTTTAATTGTATTCTGATGGCATACAGACCCACAATTAGGAAAATTGTGTCAGTGTCCAAATATATATGGACCTAACTGTATGTCTGTTTGAGTAATCTGAGCATTTTTGTTTTATTCTATAAACTACTGATAGCATTTCTTCTAAATAAAATAGTCATTTAGAGCATTTATTTGCAGAAATTGATCAAAATAGCAAAAAAACAAAAAGATCTGCTTTGTGAAGGATGCATGACTCAAGCCACATACAAAACTTGTTTCCTTCTGCTCTGACAATGATCCCCAATTCTGAGGACTGGTTTTTCCCCACGAGAGTGCTCCATCCACACCTTGAATCTGGCTGTGTGGGATGTTGGACCACCAGATCAAGACCCTGTCAAGGCTAGCCCAGTCTTCTATAAATAGTATTTTGCAGACATTTGCAGTGGACTCTCAACTTTTTAAAATATTTGTATTAACATAACCTCAACAATTGAGACATAAAATAATCACATTTTACAGACATGTGATGAACAGAAATTGAATAAGACCTTGAACAATATCAATGTCGAAGGTAGCAGTCAGTGTCTGATGTGGCTGCCAGCTGCTTTAAGTAACATAGAGCATCTCATCCTCATAGACTGCACCAGATTTGCCAGTTCTTGCTGTGAAATGTTATCCCACACTTCCATTTGTTCCAAGTTCTTAAACACATTTGGGGGAAATGCATGGTTTGCCACTACAAGGACAATCAGCTGTTCTTCCTGTAGCACAGTCTTAGGTGTCTTACATTACAGACATTGCAGTTTATTGCTCTGGCATCTACAGTCCTCATGCCTCACCGCAGAAGAACTATGCATGTTCATGCAGGTGAACTAGGACTCGGGGCATCATTCTTCAAGTCAGTAGAAAGGTCTCTTTACTTTCCTAGATTATTCATTAAACAAGCATGCAAAACATTTATTCAAACCCCTTCTAATAAAATTATGTAAAGCTTATTTGGATTTTACAAAACACAGCAAAATACAACATCCTGAAAAAGGGACACACACACATATATATATGGACCAAAGTTTTGGTACATTGGATGATTACACCAACAGGGACTTTAATGACATTGCTTTATTGCAATTTCAATTCCAGTTTGATGGGGTGGAGGTCAGGGCTCTGTGTGGGCCAGTCAAGTTCTTCCACACCAAACTCATTCAGCTATGTGTTTATGGACCTTTCTTTGTGCACTGGGGGACTTCCGCAAACTGTTCCCGCAAAGTATAGAATGTATAGCATTGTCCAAAATGTCTTGGTATGCTGCACAATAAGATTTATCTTTACTGGAAGTAAGGGGCCTAGCCCAACCCCTAAAAAAAACAGCCCCATGCCATTATCACTCCTCCACCCAACTTTACAGTTGCTATAATGCAGTCAGGCAGGTAGCTTTCACCTGGCATCTGCCAAACTCTCAAATACTGTGAACTAAGGAGCCCTATTACTTGCACGTTATTATAAAATTAAATAATGTTGTTTAGTTTTAGATAAAATAACAAACACAATTGTATGAAAGCATGTAAAATGCTTTTTTTTTTTATTAACTTCTAAAGCCAATTATAAAATAATATTTTTATTCCAATTATTTGTTGAAATATAATTATTTACCCAGCTGGATGTCATAAATAGTTTTTATGACATTTACTTTTAAATGTCAAATGTCTCATTTACTTTTTTATATATATATATATATATACAGTAAGTGTGTGTATATATATATATATATATATATATATATATATGCACACAGTATATATATATAGTGTAAATATAGTGTAAATTCTCTAGAGTTCATTTCTCTAGCAAACTATCGAGCTGTGGACACCGAATGACTTAGCCGGTACTAAGCCGGTGTCATTACATGACATGACACCTGTCTTGACACCTGTCTGTTGACCTGCGCCTCATTAAGTGGATTATTTCCCTTCTGCATTCTGGCAAACTTCACAAAATCAGAAGAGCTGGCTTTCAAAGAATGATGTTCCCGCGGATTGGTTTCTTTTGGTGTGTTGGAGGACAAGAGTCTCAAGAGAGTGGATTAGTCACCTAGTGCTGCTCCAGAGTCGGTGGCGCCTCACAATGAGACGAACGAGTACACAGCTGCGTGCTTTGGCTAAGGCATTGTAAGAGCTACTGTAGGCAACAACCATAAATGCAAAAACAAACAAAACGCCTTAATATCAGAGCACTTTTCTCAATATCATTCACATGCGCTGCAAATTTATATTGAGCGCTCCTGCACTGCTGAATGGAATGTCCATTCAAGACAATTCTTTGACAGCTGGCTGGTTATCCCAAAATACCTTTGCCAGATTTTATCATTTGGATCTGCCCTTGGATCTGCTGTTTGTATTGTCTGTGGAAATGCAGCTGAGTTCAGCAGGATTGGAAGCTTGGCCCTCCTTTTAGTTGTTACAACCCCTTACTGGTCTGTTGTCTTATAGAGCGATGACTGCGATTGGGAGGCTTTCACAGTCTAGATGCAGTGTTCAAGATACTGGAAGTGCTGCTGTATTACCTCTTTGTGTTTGTGTATACTGCCCACGTGTGCGTAATCAGTATGAATGAGTAGTTTTTTAACTGATTGAATTTTGTGATAAGTGCCAGCATGGCCGCTACTTCCATCATGTGAACGGAGTTGGTCCTCTCCATAGGAACATGTTTGTTTGGCTGTGGCCATCAAATTTTCGTTCCTTCCCCTAGTATACGAGTTTATGAATACTTGTGCTTAACTAAGTCTGCTGTTAATCTGGTTGTGGCCTTCCGTCATAGTCTGACATCATCCCTACAGCGAGGGCTGGGAGGAGCTGCTGGACACTAGTATGTTTGCATGTAGATGCTGATATGAACCGTCGGGTATGTACGATTATTTGTGTTATGTTTGTGATGTTCTATACCACTACGGCGTTAAGCATGCTCCTTGTGCTGGCATTTTTTTTTTATTAGTCAGTTCTCCACTTCAGCTGAGGTAGACTTTGCTAGTAACGTTATTTTATGCAATCCCAATAGTGTCAGCTCTGAGTAATCAGAGGTCAATTCACTCGACATTGTGTCAATGTAACCATGGTTCCCTGAGAGGAGGGAATGAGTCATTGCATAAATGTTATGTTATGCTCAGAGTTTGGGAACAAGAGCTGCCTATGGTTTTTCAGTAAGATTCTGATGCAATCGTGCCAGTGTCGGCTTATATAGCGGGAGAAGGTCGTCCTATTTTTTATGTGTGCCTGAATGTCATTGGCCAATCCTTAGATTGGCACGATTCTATATGGCTTCAGTATTCTTGGAGAAAGAGGGATTTCCCCATAGCATTAGCTCTGACACAATAATGTCTCATTCTCTTCTCTCAGGGAACCATGGTTCTTTTAAACTGCTTTACTTTGTTGGTGTTATACTGCTGGCAAAGATGTTTGGTTTGCACATGCATGCTCTCTCTCTCTGCTGTAAACAACGGAGTTCTAATTCATTGTCATGTGATTTTGCTACCATGCATATGTCATGATGCGTCAAAGCTTGAGCTCCAGGACCGTTTGCCTGAAGCTATAGATCAGGAGTCCTCAACACTGGACCTCGAGATCCACTTTCCTGCAGAGGTTAGCTCCAACCCTAATCAAACACACCTGAACAAGCTAATCAAGGTCTTCATGATTAATACAAAGTTGCAGGTAGGTGTGTTTAATCCAGGTTGGAGCTAAACTCTGCAGGAAAGTGGATCTTGAGGTCCAGAGTTGAAGACCCCTGCTATAGATTATAAGAAATAATGTTGTAAATAACATTCAGTTTCTTGTAGAGACCCATAGTTTCACTTCAGATGACATCAGTGTTTTACTCTCTGTGCCTTGACAACTCACTGAGCACACTATTCCCATTCATAATAGTGGATGCGCATTTGATGCACCATATACTTTAGGCATGTAAGCACCTGACTTGCCATTGCTTGGTGAGAGTGCTCTGTGTTTCTCTCAAACACACAAAGAAAGAGAAAATGAGAGTCTTACTGTGCTTACTGTGAATCATATTCTTTTTTTTTTTTGCTGTCAAAATTACTGATGAATAAAAAGTTTAAAAACAACAGCATGAACAAAGAATCCTGAAAAAAGTATCAGGTTCCAAAACAATATTAAGATAAAATAGTATTAAGTAAAAACTGTTTACAATATTGATAAATCAGCATATAGAATGATTTCTGAAGGATCATGTGACACTGAAGACTTGAGTAATGGCTGATGAAAATTCAGCTTTGCATCACAGATCTTATCCCATTTCTGAAATGTTGTATTTGATGTCATTACTTTAACAGGAGATGCAAAAGAAAATCGGTTTATGGCAGAGAAAGATGAATATGGTGCAGACACTATGACGGAAATCCATATTGTTGGACGCATTGTCCTCAACATGTGGAGGATTATGAAGACTGAGGTTCTCTTTAAATTCAATACCCTCAGAATCCCGAAGCTAACACTGTTTATCTGAGAGTGTTCGGTTTTATCAAGTGCTTCATGTATGTTTTCAGGCTGCATTGAATAACTACACTTTTGAGAATGTGGCTTTCCACCTCCTGCATCAGCGCTTTCCTCTCTACAGCCATCGCACACTCTCCGACTGGTTTGACCACAACACACACCTGCACAGGTGGGAATTTATCTCACATCGGTCAGATGCATATTACTGGTCTTATTGCAGGGTTGTTCCTATGAATGTCATTGCATCATTCATCAGAATTTAATAATAGCATACTGATTGCTGCATACTGTACCATATATATTGTATGGTACCAGCTAAAATTATCTGAAATGTGTAGCATTTAACAGTGCACTGCAAATAATTAACTTATTTTTGTCTAGAATTTGTTTTCTAGCAAAATTATCTAAATATCATTTACAATGTCATTTTCTTAATAAACCCTAATAAATTGTTAGATTTATGCCTAAAACAGCAACCAAAACAACATTAAAAATAATAATAATAATAATTCAAGATATATTCTCTGAAAATAACTATAGTATCTTAAGCAATTTTCTTCTCAAATTTGTTTTATGACTCAATATCATGTAGGTGTTATGCATAATTTATGGGATATCATTTTTGTACTGTGCACATGATATTTACTGGTTGTACAAACAAAATACTGTTTATTACATTTTGTGTGTGTGTTCTATTGGGGTGTTCTGTTGTTTGGGTCAGGTGGAAAGTGGTGGATCATTATGTGAGTCGTGTGTGTGGCACAGTCCAGTTGCTCCAGCAGCAGGATATTATTGGCAGGACAAGTGAACTGGCACGCATGTTTGGAATCCAGTTCTACCACGTGCTAACCAGGGGGTCACAGGTAAGCATCCATCTGAAACCTGTTATACAGATGCCTTTAGCTGTCTGTCCGATCACTATATAAAATTGGGGTCAGAATTAATAGCCCCCTTGGTAGATATGAGCAAAGAAGGCTGTGAAAATAAATATGCATTGTATATCCTTTTGATATTTCATTCAAAGAATCCACAAAAATCTATCCTTTCATTGAAGTAAAATGATTGAAAATGATGGGAACATCTCATTATGAAATGTTTTTATCCATTACACGTTGGCCAAGGTTCTTTTCCTCTTTTTGCAACTTCTCTTTGCCAAGATAATAGCTCTGAATCTTCTCCTATAATGCCTGATTTGGTTGGAGAAAACCTGGCAAGAGATGAGACCATTCTTCCATACAGAATCTCTCCAGATCCTTCAAATTCCCAAGTTCATGTTAGTTCCTCTCCTCTTTAGTTCAGCCTACTAATTTTCTATTGGGTTCAGGTCATGGGATGGCCATGGCAGAACCTTCATTTTGTGTTCAGTGACTCATTTTTGTGTTGATTATGATGTTTGTTTTGGATCACTGTTTGGACAGAAGATCCAGTCACGGCCCATTATAAGATTTCTAGCAGAGGCAGTGAGGTTTTGAAATTTTTGTCAAATCTGTTGGTATTTGATAGAATCCATGATGCCATGTATCTGAACAAGATGTCCAGGACCTCTAGCAGAAAAACAGGCCCACAACATTAAAGGTCCAGCAGTATATTAAACTGTGGGCATGGGGTACTTTTTTATCCGTGTGTATCATTTTAAATCCATATTATGTGTGCCAAAAAGCTTTTTGAGTTTCATCTGACCATAGAACCCTGTCCCGTTTGAAGTTCCAGTAGTGTCTGGAATATTCTGGAGTTTGTTTTTGGATGAGAGCAGAGGATTTTTTCTTGAAACCCTCCCAAACAATTTTATGTAGGTGCTGTTTGATAAGTGAGCAATATCATACTCATTGCCGTGGTGATATAGAGCCATATCACACAGCTACGAGTGTTATATTGTGTCTATACAAAAGTTTGATTGCACAAGCCTGATGAATCTTTGTATTTTCATCCTGGAATATGTGTACATGAGTACATCTTCCAACATGGTTGTTGAAGAAATGAAAAGCTACTCACTGCATCAATTACGGCTAAAAGTATTGTTGCCAAACATACAACATACCAGAAATGTATTAATCACTGCAATAATGATTTAATCCTAAAATTATTTGCTTATTTAAGTCTAAAAAGTATTTGCTTATATAAATTCAGACGGCAACTTTTATTTTGGCCAGGCAGTGTTTAATATTATTAATGCTGTCAATTGATAAAAAATTTAACTAATTAATTGCACGTTTCTGTAAGTAATTTCACATAACAATGTGTAATCATAAATATTTTTTCACTTTGAGTCATTGAACATAAAGATGGTATATTTTAAATATTTGTTTAATAGCATCTTTTTACCAAATAATAATACTGATACTGGTACAGATGTTAGATTAAAAAAAAAAATCTGGGAATTAAATGAGTGAATATAGTCATTCAACATTACTGTAAAATTTGTGATAGACTTTTTAACATTTAATAGGCATAAACTTTAACAGAACATTAAAAAAAAACTTTTAAGTAAACTTAAATCAAGTCATGTAGTAATAGAATAATGTTTCAGGTTCGGTTTTTTTCTCCAGTAAGTTTATTTTGTGCATTAATTTTCACAATTTTCAAAAGTACAATTACTAATTAAGACAATTTTTATCAGTGTTTTTATTGGAGCATCAATCCTCTCAGAACAACATCAGTATCGCTTGTCATTGAGACAAGCATGTTAATGACCGGATTAATGAAAGACGCGAACATCGCTGATCATAGCCACTTTTATTCTGATCAATGTTAAAAACAGTTGTGCTGTGTAATATATTTGTGAAAACAGTTATGCATTTTTAATTACAATGAACGAAAAAATAACAGCATTTATTTAAAATACAATGTGTTGTTTTGTTTTTGTTTTTTGTAACACTCAGGGTCACAAGTGTACGGTCACTTTTAATCAGTTTAATGCACCCTGAATGCATAATGCATTTTTTATTATTATTATTATTATTATTATTATTTCTTACAGACACTAAATGTTGTCACATTAGTGATTTAAGTGTCACAAGTATAATATGACACAGTAACAGTTCTTAGTTTGTTTAGAGTTATAACTGAAAATAATGTCTTGAAACATTATTGAAATGTCATTTTGAAAAATTCAGTAAGAACAGGTTCTTGAGAATCATTTGTTAGGAAGTAAAGGCTAGAATACATAACACAACTTTTGCAATATTTTGCAGTCTGGAGGAGTCGACACTAGTTGACAAAAATCAGTGTGCAGATATTGGGCAGTCACAGAAAATCACATAGTGGGCACGGAAAACTGATTTTTTTTTTTTAAGCTTCAGGCTATGATTCCATCTAGCTGAAGAATCAGACATACTTGATATTTTGAGCCAATTTTAGTACATATTTTAATTTGTCGTAAGTCTGCTAGATTCCTAGTACAATATGTGTATCGATAGGATACGTGCAGTTATTGATCAAGTATTTAAAAAAACATTGATTCACATTCACTAATAATGGCATGGATTATTTCTTCCTGTACGCACAGGAGAACTTCTCACAAACAATTATGCCAAATTCACAATAAACACCTTCAATACAGCCCCAGATTATAGACCTGTCATTAGACAGCTGTACATATGCATATATCTGCATTGTTATATTGTCGCAGCTCGAGCAATAGTAGCTTTTCTTACTCTATCACTGTACATGATTAAATATATTATACAAATATATTATTTATAATATATCAATTTCATTTTAACTATACATAAATTATATATAATAATTGTATAATGATGAAATATCATTTTTTATCATTTTGTGAAAAAGTTTGAACACAGATTTAATGCACAAATTTGTGTACGCATGCTTAGTGAATGAGATCCAGTATTCCTTTAATTCTTGAAATGGAGAGATTCACAGATGTATATTATATTTAGGTTTTTAATAATTAGATTCATAAATACTTTTTTGCAGTTTTGTGTTGGTAGTTAATCTTTCTCCTTCTATTGCAGTACCGTGTGGAATCAATGATGTTAAGGATCGCAAAACCAATGAATTACATCCCAGTGACTCCAAGCACACAGCAGCGTGCTCAGCAAAGAGCCCCACAGTGCATTCCGCTTGTCATGGAGCCAGAGTCGCGTTTCTATAGCAACTCTGTTATTGTGTTGGATTTCCAGTCATTGTATCCATCTATCATCATTGCCTACAATTACTGTTTCTCCACCAGCCTTGGACACGTTGAGAATCTTGGAACGTAAGCAGCTTTTGGATTTAGAGTAAAACTACATTAGATCTAGAGTTGTAGCGTATATTAATGCAGTATTTCTATATATCCACTGTATCTATTTTGTGGTTCTGGTGGTGTTTATCTCTTCCACTCTCTCACTATCTCTCAGGTGTGATGAGTTCAGGTTTGGTTGTACATCTCTCAGAGTCCCCCCTGACCTCCTTTACCAGCTCAGAAATGACATCACCATTTCTCCCAATGGTGTCGCATTTGTTAAGGTAGTTCTGAGATTACACTGCCATTAACCCCTTTCATTTAAATACCTACATTTAAATGATCCTTAAATGGCAACATGATCATGTGATGAGCCATTAAATTTGGTTGCAAGTAGTTGAAAGGGAATACTACTGTAGCTTGAATCCTTGCTGTATACTGTAGTGCCTACTATTTGTGAAAAATAGCATGTGAAACAGGTTTCCAAAAGTGTGACTGCATCAGCTTCTCAGAAATGATCACAGGTTTATGGATATCGACAAGAGCTCAATGACACAATTAACCAAAATTTTCTTAAGACTTATTGCTGTTATAAAACCGTAGCAACAAGAATATGACAATTAACACCAGGGTTCAATTAATCATTTAAATAATATAGCTAATATCACAATGTTGATGTTTCTTCTGTTTTTGGTTAGCAAGCATCATAAAGGTAATTCTATGAACAAAAATTGATATAATGCAGTGATATAAAATTCAACAGATGTGCATTCACAGTTTGCTTTGAACACATCTCATCCAGCCAGATTTTAGAGCAAGAATTGTCAATTTTATAATAATATAATTTATAATATCTTTCTTACAATGCCTGTGTCCGAGTCCGCTCAACTCAAAGTGTGTGTGTACTCAGTCATCAGTGCGGAGGGGTGTCCTGCCAAGTATGCTGGAGGAGATTTTGAAGACGAGGATTATGGTGAAGCAGTCCATGAAGGCGTACAAAAACAACAAAGCTCTGTTACGCCTGCTGGATGCCAGGCAGCTTGGCCTTAAACTTATTGCCAATGTCACATTTGGTTACACTGCTGCCAGCTTCTCTGGACGTATGCCCAGCGTTGAGGTGGGTACTCTAACTTTACATTTTAAATCCGTGGTTCCAAAATGAATGGTTACAACCCAAAAATGAGTCGCATGACATATTTGATCACAGGCAGAAAGAAAAAACAGCTAACCATGTAACCATTAATTGTTACGATGGCAAAATAAATAGCCTTATCACCTTTTAAAAGGTTTTGATTAAAATTTGGTTTTGTGCACCAAGTTTTTGGCTGGTATCTAAATTCAAGAAATTTTACAGACTGAACACTAGTTAATAAGGAACTAGTTAATAGTGAATAATGTTACCTAATCTAAGGTCTTGCCGATTTAGATTATTTGAATGCTTGTGTTTGATAAATAATTTTAGGTTTACACTTGATGTTTGACTGGAAGGGCCAGTCTTTCTTAACTGGTATGCACTTTACTTCTTTACTTTAAGAGCCAGATTTTACATTGAACATCAAGTGGTGACATAATGCAGTTTGTGTGTGTGTGTGATTACGCTGAGTAAATATTCTGTCTCTCTCCTCACACACCAGGTAGGTGACAGCATTGTGCACAAGGCCCGAGAAACTTTGGAGAGAGCCATAAAGATGGTCAATGACACAAAGAAGTGGGGAGCACATGTTGTCTACGGAGATACAGACAGGTAGAGAAATAAAAACTAGTTTATTTCAATGATGATGTGATCAAGCAGGTGTGTCAATTTTTTTTTTTATTACTCCATTTTGACTCATTCAGTCTGATTGTTAGGTAAGCATTATAATATTACCAGATTACTTAGCCAATCATAGTGCTGTGGAGGCACTGCCTCCCTCTGAAACTTTGTTCATTGTTGTGGTGGGCCAAATGCAGTCCGCTTTTAATATTTATTCTGCCTTCTGATTGATTTTAATGAAATCCCTGCCCTGTCTGATATTCTCTGAACAGAATTCGGTGTCAAGTTAATATAACTTAGTGTTCAAAAGTCAGCAGACACTATTAACATAAACATCAAAATGTTCTCATTGGCTGTTTTGTTGTGCAGTAGTTTTGCATTCAGTGTGAACAGACAAATTGCTTGTCAGTGGAAATTTGTTGTTTTGTGCCTGCTTAGTACACAGTGTTATACTGTCTCTGATACCCGTCTGTCTCTCTCTTTTAGTATGTTTGTGTTGTTGAAAGGCGCAACCAAGGAACAGGCATTTAAGATTGGTAATGAAATTGCAGAGGCGGTCACTGCCGCCAACCCTAAACCTGTCAAATTGAAGTTTGAGAAGGTTTGTGAACTGGTTTAGATCTGTGGTTTGTCTCTGAGTGTACTCTGAGTTTTTATTTTGAAGGGGAGCGATTTTAAGCCACATGATTGCTGTATTCCAATTTTGTCTGTCTGCATTCTTGTGCGTTTGGATAGGTGTACCTCCCATGCGTGTTACAGACTAAGAAGCGTTATGTTGGATACATGTATGAGAGCATGGATCAGAAAAACCCAGTCTTTGACGCCAAAGGCATTGAAACTGTACGTCGTGATGGCTGCCCTGCTGTTGCCAAGGTAACTAGCATTCCAAAATTATTATTTCCTTTTTTCCCAATCACTTGATAATGTCCTGCTCCATCTGTCATTGCAGTTGTAATGCCATGTTTCTCAACCAGAGGGCAGTTGAGGTTAATGAATTAAATAATATTTTGTTAGATTTTGGAGCGATCTCTGAAGCTGCTTTTCGAGGCACGTGACATCAGCCAGGTGAAGCAGTACGTGCAGCGGCAATGTGTGAAGGTGCTAGAGGCCAAAGCCAGCATGCAGGACCTCATTTTTGCCAAAGAGTACCGTGGAAGCGGATCGTACCGACCAGGGGCCTGTGTCCCTGCTCTGGAACTCACCAGGTGAGTAAGTACTGTATATGTATATGAAAAGGTATGTCAATGCCAAGTATGGATGTCATCTGAGATTAAAACTCATTTTTGAGATATTAAGAGATATTTACAGGTTACGGAAGACAGTGATAGCACTCGTGTTTATCATTATGTGAAAAAGTTGCAGTTGCGTTGTAATTGAGGGAAAGTGCACATCTACGTCATTTAGATTCTGAGCTTTTCTACACTTTATTCAAGAGAGGGAAGAGTTTTCATCCAGTCTCTGCACTGTATTACGTATGAGATTACAGCAGAATATTTAGATGAAATGCTTATTTTAGCACTGTTCATTTACCTCTGTCATCTTTTTAACACTGTTGTCATATAGGTACAGTGAGACATATAGGTAGTGTGCATTTTTTTGAATTCCCCAGCAATGCAGTCAGAACTAGAGTTTAGTTTGCTGTTGCCTATCAACACACAGGGACAATATGTCTGTAAGAAGCATTAATATGTAAACACAATTGGTGTACGAATGAGAGCACAGAACACCTTGATGAGGTTAACATTCAATTAAGTTCAATTCAAATTTATTTGTATAGCGCTTTTCACAATACACATTGTTTGAAAGCAGCTTTACAGAAGATGCATGAGCCGGTTTAAGTGCTCCAAACATTAACAGAAACAAATGTTCCAATGTGTTTTCTTATTCAAATTGACAAAGCAATAATGAAAATTAAGAATTCCAAAAAAAAAAAAAAGTATAAAGTCTTTGTCTTTATTCTTCCTGCTACGTATGTTAGAGTTTGCTCAAAACTGCAATGTAAAGAGGTGGGAAAAAACTCATAAATTGCATTGGTGTACTAAAAGTAGCATTTTTATTATTATTATTTATGTATTATTACATTCAGAAATAATGTCAAATAGTGGTAAATAAAACAGAAACATTCTAAACACTGTAAACATAGTACCCCTCACTGCCCAAAAATCTTTCAAATTTCACGGTATACAGAACAATAAATGTTTTAGGTATAAGAGCATGTATTTAATTGTATTATATATTTATAGTTGTATTCATTATAAACAACATTTATTATAAACACCAAGCCTAAATGAAGCTGAACTGAATTACCGATGTGTAGCATTTTTATTATTATTATTTATTATTATTATTTATGTATTATTACATTCAGAAATAATGTAAAATAGTGGTAAATAAAACAGAAACATTCTAAACACTGTAAACATAGTACCCCTCACTGCCCAAAAATCTTTCAAATTTCACGGTATACAGAACAATAAAAGTTGTAGGTATAAGAGCATGTATTTAATTGTATTATATATTTATAGTTGTATTCATTATAAACAACATTTATTATAAACACCAAGCCTAAATGAAGCTGAACTGAATTACCGATGTGTAGGTAATGTGCTTTGCAAATAAATTTAACACACCTTACAAGCAAAAACTGTGTTAAAGTTGAATGTGAGGAGAGATAAATACTGAATCCCATGGATAAAACATTTTGCACAATTTACTTGAAGGATATGTTAGTGGATGTTTACGGAATTTGAAAAAAAAAAAAAAAAGTGTAATTTAATTGATTTCTGTTATTTTGACAAGTAAAAATATATCTGATCTACTGTGTTGTTGTTCTTCACCACATTAAATGATGTGAATATAGGGAAACGAGGAAAATAAACATCTATTTAAAATAATTCATTTAAAAAAAGACAGATAATAAATAAATTGGCCACTTTTGCTTAAGAGTGTGTTAATTTTTGCAACCTCTCATTTGATTAAATTCAAACATTGTGTAATGTTCTAGAATGTAGTTTGTCCATAACTTTAACCCTTGTGCGACCTTTTGGACATTTTTGTCCTTTTCAGTTTAGTTTTTTTGATCATTTTGCCTGTGTTATTGCCAACTGCATATATTTTGGCACAGGTGTGTATATTTATTGGAATTTTACTATTTCACTTCCATTTCCTTTAATAAATCTGTTTTGCACTAGGTACAAAAAATTTTCCTCTCAGGACCTTAAGGACAAAAATGTCCCCATTGAAACCCATTAAAACTGCTATTTTTAATAAATTTAACTGTAAAATTATGCAATTTTTGTTGATAGGCTTTCATTATATTGGCCAGGCTTTACATTTTTTTTTTTTTTTTTTACTATTTTTTACCAGATGGTGCCATTTTTTCAGGTTTGACCTATAAAGAAAATACTCGCTTTATTTCTGTTTTCTGCTTCTGCATATTATAGAGCCAATTGGATAAATAATGCAGCTATAATTGTGTGGGTGTGTTGGTATGGATGTCGGGAGTGTGGTTTGTATGTGTGTCATAAAAAAAAAATGTGTGTTCTTGTAATATTTGAGAGAGAAAAACTCTACTACAAATCCAACCACTGTGTGCACCAGCAGAGTTTTGCTGGCATCTAATGGGGAAAATTTGGTACTGCGCCCAAACAAAATCTTACTGAAAGCTCATTTTTTGAGATATCAACCTCAAATTTGGAATACAACTTGTTTAGATTTATGGCTTTGATTTTCTAGCAGGTATAGAGTTCAACATTTTTCATAAAATATATATTTTATATCAAACATCGTTCATAAATCATTTTCATAAACCTAAACATCTAGAATTTTTTTTTGGTTTCACTTTTTAAACTTTTTTTACTTCAACAATAATCTGCCATGGGTCTTCTTTAAAATGAGACCAAACTTAACTCTGTGCTCCCAAGCGTCAAATTTTTATGACAGTTTTTTGACATGGACATTTTTGTCCACTATGGACCTATGTGTAACTTTTTTTAATTGACGCACAAGGGTTAAATATACTGCTCTGGCCCTTCTTGCAATTGAGTTATTGATGACAAATTGTCACATCTATACTGCTTAACTCATGGAAAAGTCACTAATATTGACAGTGCCCAATAAAACAGGGAATGAGTTTAGTTGCACATTTAGGTTGGTATGAATCTTTTTACAGGTCTTTTACAGATTGAGTCATTGCGCTGATTTGTGCCAAAATGCTTTATTATTCTTCATTAAAAAAAAACAGTTTATTAAACAGTTTTTGCATGCAAATTGAGGAACCCCCATATTACATAATAATCTAGGCAAACTTGTAGAAAATGACAGGTTGTGCACTGTATTTAATAAGTGCAGACATTTTTGGTTTGCATGTTTGAATATGTGTGTTTTTCCAGACAGAGCTCAGTTTATTGTCTGCATGCTGCAGAACTGCCTTACTGTACCTGATGCTGCTGCCTAGCAACACACCCATTAACAGATGCTGGAATTAGATTAGAGTCATAGTTGAGGGGGAATTCCTTCTTTTGTTAATATTGCTGCTGTTTATGTGTTCTGATTGTGGATGAATCCAAATGCTTTAAAATAACACACAAAAGTTGCTGTCCAATATTTTTCTTTCATTTTTTTTTTGCTTTTTCTTTTCTGTCTGTCTCTCAGGCGTATGATGGCGCACGATCGACGTTTAGAGCCACGTGTGGGTGAGCGAGTGCCGTATGTTATTGTGTACGGGATGCCAGGAGTGCCGCTCATACAGCTGGTTCGACGTCCTGTAGAGGTACTGCAGGACCCCAGCTTGCGCCTCAATGCAACCTACTACATCACCAAGCAGATCTTGCCACCGCTCGCACGAATTTTCAGCCTGATTGGAGTAGATGTGTTCAGCTGGTACCACGAGTTGCCGAGGGTTAGTTATTTGTCATTTTGTCTTTTAGCATATGCAAAATATAAACGATTAAGCTTGACATTGAAACATCATTCCCCTTAAATGGGTGTATCTACAACTAGTTCTTGTACCTTTATTACTGAATTATACTAGCTAGTATTGATATAAAGGCACCATCTGGTGGTAGGTTATAAGACTGCAAATGTGTAATGTTTTACATATTTAAATATTTTCACCTGTACTAGTTCCATATGCAGAGACAACTGTAAGTAAACCATTAGTATGTTAATTCTCCTGAATAATAAAAACCCTTGCTGTCTGGTTCTCAAATATTGCTTGAGCCAGTGTTGCTCTGTTGAGCTGGTCTGGATGCTCAAACAGAATGGCATGAGTTTTGCATTCGACTATTCAGACAAGTTCCCCTCATGTCTGTGCCCTGTTGATTTTTAAAAATGACTGATTTCCCAAATACTGCAGTTTGCTTAGGACAGGTAGTGCCACATCAAACTCACAACAAATGGCATTTGTTTGAGCCATCATTGGCTGGTAAAAATGTTCAAACTAATAGAACTTGTGCTGATAGCAGAGCAGAACCACAGTATTTACATTATTTATTTATTGGGGATGAAATTCAATCATATAGTTAACTAAGCATATACAAATTGGAGAAAGTATTTTAACATCCAAAAAACTATGCTTTACCTTTAAAAAGCACAGTTAAATGAAAAGACATTTCCAGTGAAAATCTGCATGTCTGTTTGTGGTGTTATTCACTGCATAGGTACAGAAGGCATGGAGCTCTGTAAGTGGAGGAGGGGAGGAGGGCACAAGAAAAGGCACCATCTCTCAGTACTTTACAACGCTGCATTGCCCGATTTGTGATGAGCTGACACAGCTAGGAGTGTGTGAACGTTGTCGGGCTGAACCCCAGCGTGTTGCTTTCCACCTACACCAGGACTTGCGGCTTTGGGAAAGCCAGCAAGACCAGCTCCTAAAGGTAAGAGGTCATGTTGTCTAAAGCCCTGTTTGCACGGGATTAGTATTATCTGGGAACCTTGTGTGATTTTGAAATTACCCCCCCACATCTGAATTTCGTGTGGTACATTCGCACGGGATAAGCGAAGCCTGTGATTTTACTCGAATTTACTGATTTATCTCCCGGATACCCGGATGTCAAGGCTTTGAGAGTCCCGTTCTATGGTCCAGATGGATTTTTAAAAAAGAAACTAATATAGTTTCGTGCGCTGTGTCATTTACATTTCACCAGGTTAAAATAATATCTCAAGCTTTATGCTTGATTTATTTGTAACACATTAACCTCAAAACCTTTTCAGCTTTCTCTTTCTGCAAATTGTATGATGTAGCGATATGATGACAGCACCCAAAATACTATCAAACACTCCAACGCAGCTCCATTCTTCGCAAAAGATGGATAAAAAGGCGCACAGCAAACAAAAACCTCGAAAAATGATATGCGACCCGCCAAATGCTGGCCGAATCACAGAGAAGCCAATTCGCACGGGACTAATATTATCACGGGACCTCTGTGTTCGGCGAAATATGGTAGGTTATTTGCGGGGGAATTTTTACTTTACAAATTACAGACATGGCCGATTCGCACGGGATTAAGATCACAGACAACCTCCGTAATTATTACAAATGACTGGAGGTCACCAGGTAATACTAATCCCGTGCGAATAGGGCTTTTGTCTCTTTGTTTATTTTGAATACGCGCCCTCTAGCGGCGAAAATTACATATTGTGCCTTTAATGCTCACAACACCCTATTTTGGGTAAAAATACGAATGATAATACTTTTCTCTAAAGAAACAGGATTCCCTGAATTATCGTCATTGATATCATTATCGCAATAAATACCAGAAATCGTGATATCCCTAATGCAATGCTAATCGACACAGCCTTTATCACTGCTTAGAATACTATGAAATATGTTGCGTGCCTTATTCTC